AACCAGTAATCGGACCAAGGGTGCACTACGTTGGGCGTAGTAGTTGAGTACGCCGAGCATACTCCATCTCATTTGACCCATTGACTTTTTTGACTTTTGACCTTTTATAATGATTTTGACCAAGTTTGACCTAAGGGTATTTTGATCAGTAATTTTTGTTTAGGTCACTGTTTGTTGTATAAATGACTTGTAGATTTGACTTTTGGAGCAACTTTCTTTTTCGCAATCTTTTCGTATTGTGAGGTGAGTTTCCTTATTGTACTCGTTGGTCGAAGGCACCAATGCCGACCCATTCAGTTATGTATCCTGGTATATAGGATGTTGCTATGATGTAGTTGGTTATATGTTTATCTATTGCTTATGTCAACATAGTGCGGTTAGGTTGAGACAATACTTCTCTGTACGGAAGCCAACAAACCCAGGAGCAATCCAAATATAAGCTGTGGGTCGGAAAGCTAAGATAAACTTACGTTGTGAGCTCGGGAGCAAGTCACACATAAGCTGAGGGTCGAAAAGGCAAGCCAGACTTACGTTGCGGGCTCATGAGCAATCCCGACATGAGACGTGAGCCAGAATGTCAAGCCAAATTCATGATGTAGGCTTAGGGGTAGTCCAGCCCGATAGTTGTTGACTTGGTATGCATGTTGTTATATGCTTTTGTGGTGTTACTTTGGGGAACATACTAAGCTTTCCCTTACCGTTTAAGTTTTATGTTTCATGTACTTTAGATTATCGGGGGAAGCGAAGGCGTGATTGGTACACATCCTTTGGTGATATGTTTTGGAGATGTTATCATACATTGATTTTGTAACAATTTTACTTGATCTTGGGTTTTTATTAGTTGGGGTTTGATTGAAAACAATGATTTCTCTTTAATTAAAAATGAGTAATTTTATCGTGATTTTCGGATGTTACAACCCTCCCTTATATATATATATATATATATATATATATATATATATATATATATATATATATATATATATATATATATAGCTAGGTTCAAATGTTTCTAGCAACTATTGTGTGCGTGAATGCACCAATAGGAAATTAGGAAAAAATAAATCATTAAATAAATCATTTAAGGGTATTATAGTAATCCTTGCATAGTTAATTATGGTAGACCAACAATTCCTTATATCACACCAATAAGCAAAGATAAATATAGAACATTTGCCCTAAATCGATTTCACCGCTTCCCACCCAACACCCCTGTAGATCGATTTCACCATTTCTCTCTGTCTTCTCTATTTGTTCCATATTCAAGCCCTAAATCTATTGACCCTTTTCATCTGTCATCATCATCATCATCATCCTGTGTAGAAAGAAAAGAGAGAAAAGAATTTCTTGTTTGATTGAGTAACACGTATCGAGACTTTGAGGCGCTAAGAGAGAAATTCATCCTCTGCGAAGTAATCGAACCCGAAGCTTCCAAGCGTGGTTGTTTTCATTCGAGTAAAGCCTGAGAAGGGATACGAGAAATGTTGTAAAAGATGAAGAAGAACAAACATTTCCGAAAACGAAGTATAACATATGAAGAAGATGAACAAACAGGAGTTATAGAAGACAACAATGAGATGCGGAGCGTGGTGTTCTCCACTCTTTCTCTTTATGAGCTGGGTTTCTTCTCCAATTTCATTTTTTATTTTTGGGTTTTATTTATTCAGATGTTCTGCTAGGGTTTATATATTTTCTTGGTATAAATTGAAGCTAAATATTTTAATCAACAAAGCTTATGAGTTCGATGTTCTAATTCATGGCTAACATGCGATCTAACAACGATTGATAAACACAGATTAGCTTTAGATGTGATCAAATTTCTTCAGAAACTAAGGGAGAGGAAGTCAGGAGTCCTAGCGATTGTTAAAATAGGGTAGGCTACTACAGCTAGCGGTGTCAACAATGTTGGTGGGTTGGTTCCCAAAGGTGGTGATAAAGGTGAAGCAGATGGAGAAAAAGACGAATTGGTTTTACATGATACGTTTGCTTAGGAAACTGTTGTAATGGATGAAGATCCAAATATGTATGTACCCTTATCATTCTATTGATCAGCATTTTAACAGATTATTTATGTTGGTTTTCAACATTTTTCAATTTGCATACAATTGGAATTACTTCACTTTTGCCTGAAAATGATCAATTAGTAATTTGATATTCCTAGAATTGCAGTTCCGTAGTTTACGTATCCTAGGCATATATAATTTTATATTCCTAGAATTGCAGTTCCTTAGTTTACAAGAAAAGGAATGCATTTTTTGTTCCTACATGATTTAATATTGTTTGATTGAGTTTTGACAAAAATAGATTTTGCTTGCAAATTGCAATGGATTTTGCATATGTGTGTTGTTTACTATTTTACTGGAATAAGAAAATAGTGGTATGTATTCTGTTAGAATGAAAATTGTTAAGTTGTGGATTATTTTTCATATCAAAATGTAAACACATGTGCATTCCATAAGAATATAAATATTACATAAAACATGTATTGCTAGTAATTCTGACAAAATACATTTATACATGCTGCAGTATGTTTTATGCATATAATATAAGTTGCTTTTAAGTTCAAATTCTTTAAGAATATTCAAAATAATTCTGAAAGAATAATTTACTCTGTAACAGTATTATTGTTGTATTCTAATAAAATTGTAGTTAATTAGTTATATGTTTATGTGAAGTTGTTACAAGTGTATCACTACAAAATATTTGGCAACAACTTTGTGATAGAAATGGCTTGAAGACCTAATGGGAAAGGCTACTTCAAGAAAATCATTTTCATGCAATACAATTATGACAGAATGTCAATCTCACAAAATGTCAATCTCGTAGAATGCTAACATATTTTGAAGTGGCTTAGAGGTTAAAAATACACAAGACGTCTAGGAACGAAACAAGAAAATGAATGAGGATTCTTTCAAGGATGCCGATATTTTTTTTTCTTCTTTTTTTGCAAGAGATTTCAAGAATGAATATAGTTTATTTTCATAGTTTTATTCATTAAGAATGAATGTAATTACTTATTCTAAACTAATAAGCTTCGTCTTATATAAAAGGTGTATTCATTAAAAGTTATTGGTCTTGATAATATGTGTTTATAATATTATGTTCATAGTTGTATACCATTCTAACAGAATTACAGAATATCATTATAACAAAATAACATTCTGATAGAATAAAGTCGGTTTATGTTTACAAATTACGTTTAAATTGAATTAATTTGAAAAACAAAATCAGATTTTTTTTTAAATTAGAATCATTAATTATCCCATAAATCTCGATTTTTACTTTTTAAAATTTTTCTCAATTGACTAACATGCCCTTATTCTGAAATTTATGTGATTATATGGTATATGTTACCCTATTATACTATCATAGACCCTCAGATCATGACCTTTGATTCTATTCCATCCGATAGTCCAGATCTGTGCATTCTGGCACACAATAGTTACTAGAAAGATAATAACCTAACCCTATATATATATATATATATATATATATATATATATATATATATATATATATATATATATATATATATATATATATATATATAGTGTTGCAAAACTCGGCGTACTCGGCCGAGTATTCGGAATCAGCCGTCCACCGAGGCAAGTTATGTGAACTCGACAAAAAAATCAGATTAAGTCAAACTCAGTCAAAAATCGGTCATCATCGGTCAAAATTTGGTCAACATCTCTCTAACTTGGGCCTACTCGATATTAATTGGCTTTACTTGGGCCAACTTGGTCAAACTCGGTCAAATGGTTAAAATTGTCATAAAAAGAAAAAAAAATCAAGAATTTCAAGATTAATATTTATAATACACTTAATGATTTATTATTTAACAAAAATATGTGATTATTACTACAAATAAATCTTAAATTTTCAGTAATTATTCACGAAGTGAGACAATTGTGTGTATTTCAGTTTTTATGTATTCACATGTATCTAATTTTGTTATATATTTTAATCAAATTATGATTTTAACTTATGATTATGACATATATAATTTTCCTAAAAATATTTTTTACATGAATTACTAAATCCGAGCACTCCTCAAGTATTCCCGAGTATCCCGAGTATTCGCTACTCGGTAGTCGGCAGAGCAACTACCGATTAGCGAGTTCTACAACCTTATATATATATATAGACACACACACACACACACACACACACACACACACACACACACACACCAATAAATAGCCTTGTCACTTAAGAACGGTGATTGTCTTAATTTATACATGTTATATGTATAATATATACTCGTTTATAATCCGTGGCAACGATGGTTACAAAATTAATTAAACTTTCATAGTAAAAGCTCAAAATTATTAATCAATTATTTTAAGTAAATTATTTTATATAAATTATTAATAGAGATATTTTTTTTGTTATATAAAATTATAATCGTTCATTTAAATAAACACGCGAAATTATATCGTCTTATAATATATATTAATTTTATTTTAATTTTTATTCTAATGTTATTAATTTAATGTAAATAGAGTGAGAAATTTAAATTTTTAAATATGAAATGGAAAATCAATAGGTTAAGAAATAACATGATATTAATTACGATGCATAATAGGTTGACACACCGGAAAAAGAGATAAAAATTATTATTTTATTAGAATAGGGAGATATAACGATGAAATGTATATAGGTGATAGGTCATACATGCACCATCCACATGAGAACATACATGATCCATGCATACTTGTTTCTTATTTTTTATTTTATTTTGAGGTGATATCTTGCTCCTTCAGTATGTTATCCAACCATGTCTTCTGTTTTGTCAACATTTGAGGTGATATATGAATGGAAGCTGAACTTATTTCGACAAGAAATATGAAGCATATAATTGAATAAGAAAAAAGAATTGGGTTCTTTGTCAAATTGACGAGTCGTGGAATTTTCAAGTATGGATTCTTAGTCCCTAGATAAAGATAAAATTGTTAACTTAATGGTAAGCACTCTAACCACCTAGTCCAGGCATGACACTACATGGTAGTGGTTGCGACTTTAGGAGGTGGTGGTGGTGGTGGTGGTGATGGAGACTTAGGAGGTGGTGGTGACTTGGGAGACTTTCCATGAACGGACGGTGGTGGTGGTGGAGGAGACTTAGGAGGTGGTGGTGACTTGGGAGACTTTCCATGAACGGACGGTGGTGGTGGTGGAGGAGACTTAGGAGGTGGTGGTGACTTGGGAGACTTTCCATGAACGGACGGTGGTGGTGGTGGAGGAGACTTAGGAGGTGGTGGTGACTTGGGAGACTTTCCATGAACGGACGGTGGTGGTGGAGGAGACTTAGGAGGTGGTGGTGACTTGGGAGACTTTCCATGAACGGACGGTGGTGGTGGTGGAGGAGACTTAGGAGGTGGTGGTGACTTGGGAGACTTTCCATGAACGGACGGTGGTGGTGGTGGAGGAGACTTAGGAGGTGGTGGTGACTTGGGAGACTTTCCATGAACGGACGGTGGTGGTGGTGGAGGAGACTTAGGAGGTGCTGGTGATTTAGAAGGTGATGGTGGAGACTTACCATGGATGGATGGTGGTGGTGGTGATGGAGACTTAGGAGGTGGTGGTGACTTAGAAGGTGATGGTGGAGACTTCCCATGAGTAGACGGTGGTGGTGGTGGAGGAGACTTAGGGGGTGATGGTGACTTAGGAGGTGTTGCTGGAGACTTCCCATGGACGGATGGTGGTGGTGGTGACTTAGGAGGTGATGGTGGAGACTTTGGAGGCGTCGATGGAGACTTCCCATGGATGTAAGGTGGTGGTGGCGATAACTTAGGAGGCGGAGGTGGTGCTGGAGACTTGGCATGCATAGTTGGTGGTGCCTTAGGAGGTGGTGGTGATTTAGACGGTGACTTAGGAGGTGGTGGAGGCGACGATTTAGCATGGATTGGATGATTAAGAATCATATATGGTGTTTTATCTTTATAGTATGCTGTAATTGATAAAGGAATGCTTAGAGAAAATAAGACTACAAGAAGAGGCACAATCAAAGTGGCCATTGTTGGCCCGTTCGCTTTTGTAAATCTCAT